TGGGGACTTGGTTGCAGTCTAATTGAGACTTGGAAGTCAAATATGCTTCAGTCTAATACTCGTATGAAGTAGATGCAAAATCGGAACTGTATTTCATTCATTGATACAGGTCAAATATGCTTCTGCCTGACATTACCTGAGGAAGTAGCTTGAGCTCCATTGTTCTTATCCAATCCCTTTTGATTAACATATTTTCTACAACAATCCCAGCTGGATTATGATCAATCTCGACCATATCAGCTCTTGAAGCAATAGAAAAACTCCTACTCTGAAAAAAGTCAGTATCTAGGTGCAACAAAATGATTTGCACAAAAGGCATAGTTCAGCCCAAATATTACACAAACTGACGATCACCGTAACTCTTCCTATATATGCTCATAAACTTGGCCACAAACTCTGTAAAAAAAAATGGCAGAAACTGAGGATTCTTCTCAAACTCTAAGAAAGGTATAGAAGTTTTGAACCTCGGTATTTCCATCTCACCTTCTAATTTCAATAACGCACTCGTTCCTGTCGGTAGCCTCTTGTCCTGTGACAATAAACTCGAGTTACTTTTGCCTGTCTGCAAAGCAATGTAATGATAGGAGGACGGAACTTACATAGTAAGCATGCCAATAATATAATTCCCTCTTTAAACCAGCTTCAACTTGCTTGAGAAACTGTTCTACCAGCTTCTGCATGTTGGGACAAACAACTATATGAGAAGAAATAAGAGATTTTCGGTAAGTTTTAGATTGATTTATTCCGAGTTTTCAAATTCATCACCTGGAGGATTAGTTTAGGATGAACAAAATCCACAAGAAGTTTCTGAAACTTTTCCCGAATGAAGAATAATCTGACAAAATCGTATATGTAGAATGTCACTTCTGTTTTCGTTCGTCTTTGTTCTTCTGGTGGGAAGAAGGAACAGATTAAAGAAACAAAAGCTAAAAAAGCTTACCTTCTTTGCGATGGATCAGACAGGATTTCTGTTGCAACTTCTATCAAGACCTCTTCCCATCCAAGTGGAATTGGTTGATCATCAGAAAATGGATAGCTGCATTGACAGAGTTGTCACATCTAAGGACAAATATGGTTTGAATTTTTTGGAAATCTAGGACGATTTGCTTCAATTTCTTACTTGTGTGCTTTGCAGGCTTCAAGAGCCATGATTGCTTTCCTGAGGTTTTGCTTTGATTTGGCAGCAATCTTAGCAGCAAAGTTCATGGATAGATCAAAGTCCTCTTTCTTTGCAATCTGAATGAGCACCTCCATGATCTGGGAATTTGACCGTCAGAGTGGTAAGAAGATTAGATGTAAGCACTTGGGAAACCATGTTCTGCTCTGAACAATACTACACAAAGCATTTTACACACTAGAACTTAGTCAATAGATCCATCATTAGATATTTTATTTAGGAGATCTCTCAATGACCAGTATTGGTCCCATTTTTTGCATGAAAAGCAAGAGAGGGGAAGTTATTTTGTATTCATCCCTTGCCATCAAGAATTGATTTATGATGGTACTGCAATACAAGCAGTAAACCTCAGGTGCCATTCATTATCAAAATGGCGAAAATAGAGTGGGGGTTGTTCTGTCTTGAGGAGCTTAGAAAGGCTAACCATGGGCATGTCATTTTACAAAGTGAAAGCAGTAAAGGTACATCGATATAACATGATTGCCATATACATTAAACTATGCAAGTAATTGAGTTACACTGCAAAACTGATAGAGATACTTACTTCATGAGTTACTGGGGCATCTACTTTTATAACTTTGCAGCGATTGTTTACTGATTCTAGTATATTTATGTCTTCTTCACAGCAGAGCACAAATTTACAATAATCCGAATGACAGTCCATGATCCATTTTATCAAGTGATGGATATTCTCTGGTGCCTTGTCAACTTCATAAAGAACTATAACTGAAATAAACATGAAACCTTATCAGCTTTTAGTTGATTGCTTAAACTGTTTCAGGAGGAAAATTGCTTGTACTGAAGAAAAAAAAAAGTTAAACCTTTGTAATCTGCCTTAAAATCAGCAGTGCTGACTTCAGGGGTGATTGCATAATTGCTGCTTATTTCCTTGACTAAACCCATCAATGCATATTTAGAATTTGTTTCCAAGTTGACATTAAGCTCCACATGGTGAGCACTTGAAGCAAGTGGAACAGTTACTTCTGATGGCCTTTTGTCCTGTCAAGATTCAAATCATAAGATGTTGAACTCCAAATCTGTGAAATGTGAGATTTTCTTCACATGTTAAACTACAATTACATAGTACTATAAATGCTTGTTTATTCATGAACTTTGAGGCTATGAAGAAATTAATATATAATACCTGAACCGGGAATTGTCTTAATTCATGACATACCTGTCAAGAAAGGGGAGAAGAGAAAAGGGTAAAGTCAGCTTAGGCATCTACTAAGTTTAAAATGGTGGAAAATAATCTGGTATGTTTTTGTATGGACAGAGACATACATTCCAACAAGGGTCACCATATATTTCACGCAGGAAAGCCATTGTTAGTGCTCTTTTCCCTGAACCAGATGGTCCTTTGAACATAACATGAGGACAGCTCTCTTGAGATACCTATAAAGTGCAACAAACAAGATAAGAAAAACTTTGAAAGGAATGCTGGTAAAAAGTATCGCAACAGGAATAGTGGAATAGCTTGCATTGCACAACTAAAACATTATTGCAGCACCTGCAGTGGATGAGAAATCAGATAAAGAACAAAAGACTTTTTGATAAGCGACTTACAAGTTGCTTCAGAAGCTTAGCTTCTTGTTTGTGACAGGTGAATCCATTCAGAGAAGCTGGTTGATATTTATCAGCCCAAAATTGCCTCAGTTTTTCTACAACAAATGCTTTCCCAATGAAAGAGGCCTCATCAAATGCTTCCCTTTCTGGTGATTTATTTGAGGTCCTGCAGGGTCCTCTCCTCATCACACAAGCAAACCAGGCCTCACTCTGGCCCTTTCGTCTATTGTATGTGAACTTCCCTGAGTTTGCACTACTATCGCTTGTCTTACTACTTTCAGTGCTAAGCTTACCACTACTCTGTCTGCTAGCAGCTGAACTCGAAGTCATAGTTGTTCGTGATAAGCCAGTGCTTGCTGAGGACCTTCGAGCTTTGGTATCAACATTTCCATTAGCTTTTGTTCGTTGATAGGAAGCAGAATCTTTTTGAGCAAACATTGGTGGCTTTGGGAGCAAATGATTTTCAACGCCACCATTATTTGGCAAGACATTCTTCTGCATTGCCAAGGCCACCCCATCACGAGAAAAGAAGATATCACCAGGCGAAGTGGACTCTGTGCTTTCAAAAATAGCAGCATTTAACATAGGACCTCTAGAAATCTTTGCATTGGCGACCATTTCATTGATTTCACCGACTGATTGTTGTTTCACCTGGGAAGCTTCTCTTTGCTTGCGTATCATGTTCATTGAGATTGGTGATGGTGTCCTTTCCCTTCTTTGCTGTAGTTGACCATGACCAAGATTGTTCTGTTGGTCCTTCTCTCTACCTCTCTGTCTTGGTGGAGCAGTCACTGATCGACGATTATAGTTCGGTTTTCCACTCACTCTACCAGTCTCAAGAAGCTCTCCGATTGTTCCTCTTTCTTCTTTTGTTGGAGTTCTACGACTTTGCTTCCTGTTTAATCCAGCAATCTCACCATTCCCCATTTCATTACTCAATTTATGCTCCTCTCTCCCAGGTTTATAAGGAGAGAGATGCCTTCGGTGCTCAGATTTTGACAAGGGGCTGATATTTCTATCATCATCTCTCCTTGTCTTGTAAGGAGACTTGCTGCTATGTCTCCTTGGAAGGGGACTAGTTCTAGGTGGAGAGCCTTTATCATATTCAACCTTTGAAGGATGTCTTCGGCTGAGTTTGAAAGGGCTAATGTTTCTTGGCAAATTGGACTGAACTTTATCTGCCTCTACAAGATTGGATGTTCCATTCTTTTGGTTGAGATCATGCCAGGGACTTTCATGCCATT